TCCTCCCCACCAACGGGCGATGCCCAGCCACTTCCCGGGAAGCAAGGCTTCAGTACCAGTAGCAGTAGGTCTGGAAGACAAATGTCATAAATAACGAATGCCTCCACTTCCTCCTCTTTTCTCTTAGCTTTTATTGCCGAGTGGATGTCCTATGGTATGGAATATCCCTTTGGTCAGTTTGGGTCAGCTGTCCCGGCTGTGTCCCCTCCCAAGCTCTTGTCCACCCCCAGCCTACTGGTGAGGGGGGAAAATGTTGAAGAGACAGCCTGGACGCTGTGCAGGCACTGCTCAGCAGTAGCTAAAACACTGGTGTGTTATCAACACCTTTCTAGCTACCAATATAAAGCACAGCACTGTGAGGGCTGCTATGGGGAAAATTAACTCCATCTCAGCCAGACCCAATACATGGGGAAAAAGAAATTACTGAACAGTAAGCACGGGTCCATCCTGTAACCCAAACATTCTCTGGTTATGAGGTGTTTGTGTGTTCATACAGAAACAGTACTTTTCTGTGCTCGCGGCTGGCAGCAGCAATCATGGGGAGAAGCTGCTTTATGGAATCCTTCACCGCTATTGCGAAAAAAGCAAGTAGGAGAGGTTTTCCCCAGATAACAGAAGATCAGAGATGTGTATGGGGAGGCGCAGTAAGAATTAAATACTAGAATTAAGTAAGAAGAATTAAAGAAGTAGAATTAAATATTGAAAAAAACCCACAAAACTGATGTCCTGAAGACATTAGAAGAACATGCTGTCACCTCGGAAATTCAGCAAATCCAGTCAAATTGCCAGCTCTGAACTCTGTCCTCTCAAATGGTCTATGGCTGGTCAGTGCCTGACTCTCAGGGACACCTGTGGCTGGTGAGCAGGTTACGTGTAGCTTCCATGCCAAGCCACACAAGAGATACCACTGCAGTGGGACCGTGGTGAACCGGGAGGCAGCCTGAATCCCAGGGGCTGCCTTCCTATCTGCCACAGCTAGTGGAGCAGACCCTGCAGACCTATTGCCACTGCTTGCAAAATACTACTAGAAGATCTTCTTCAGCTTTTGAAGGTATGTGGCACGTCTTGGGGTTTTTATCCATATGAAGATTTTACTTTGCAGCTCAGAGTTGAGGTAGAAGTGACTGTTCCTGTTTCTGCAGGGCTGAAAATAAGGTGACCAGGTTTTAAAATTTTTTCTCATTTGCCTCGGTCATTTCAGAGTGCGTGGTTCTGCTCTGAAAAGTATGATGGCATCTTTCCTTGACAGCTCTGTATATATTCAGAATGTCTGTGCACTTTAATAACCACCACATTTTTCCCCTCCTTAATTGTGTTGGCTCTGCAGTACAAAGGTGGCCAGGCACCTTTTTTCCCCATGTACTTTACAGAATTGTAATTGCATGGTGAATAACCTGTGAGCTCTGACAAATCTTGCTGAGCCCTGATGGAGACACTTTTTCTCGCTGTCACCGAACTACTCATCATTATCTTCCTTCCCAACCTGACAATCTCCAAACTACTAGCTACCTGCTTGGGTGAGGTCTCGCTGACAAATTTCAATGTGAATGCCCTAAAATTACTCAGGTAAGTAGGTAGGCGGCAGACCTGGGGAAAGGCGATGTCCAAAAGGAAGTGGCAATGTGCAGCCAAAGCGTACACCCACAGGGGTGGACCTGAAGAAGGACGTTCACAGCTTCCGTAACCAAATGCAAAGTCAAAATGACAAGATATCTGGCTTGTAGTATCTCTTAGCAGGATGGACACACGAGAAGGAAAGACAACAATTTAGGTCTCAGCCCTTGAAGGCAT